AAGTCTCTGTCTCGGTCTCTGACCTACAGTAAAATCTCGATAAGTCGAAGCCCGTTAAGTCGAAACTCTGTTTACCTCGACGTCTTTCTGTATTCCTGACAAAAGAATAGGCCTTTATGTAGAATAAACTATCCGTAACTCAAAACGTCAATACCACTAAAGCCACTTATCTCGAAGTTTTGGCAGGCCTATTAAAAAAAAAACTGAAGAATGATGAATACAAAGTGATGAAAGAACGCTTGCCTTCATTCTGAGTTATTACTGTCATGCGCACGACTTTTCTTTGATGAGCCGAGCATGTTCACACGGGCTGCCATTGTCACGTCGACAAGCACTGGGTGGGCATCAACTGCAACCGTAAATAAGGCCGTGTCCGAAACCGGCTTCCAGAGCTACGGCTAGGTCTATCGTCTGCGCGTCTCCATGCATTTCCAATGGAGCGAATACCAAGACCTAGCTCTAGATAAGAGATTCGGATGCAGCCGTGTGCCCAGAAGCGCGTTGTACATGTATCACGTGACCCAGCACGGAAACCCTGACCGACTGGCCTGCGCACTGCATTATGCGGTAACAGCCCAATCAAGCAAAGCAAATGAATGAATTCTCAAGACGTAGACACAGGTACTGGTACATAACTTCATTGGTTTGTTTATTAATATACCACATAAAAACATGTTTAATGATGATGTTTGAGGAAAACTTGCACAGTAGGGATAGTCTAACATCCACTTCATGTTCGACTTAGCTTGCAGGCCAATTGCCCCAAGCCAGTAAGGTTGCATGTGCACTGAAGCGTGTAACTTTCGATAACTCGAACGTCGGATAACTTGAACTTTTCGTCCATTCCCCTGAGCTTCGACTTATTGAGATTTTACTGTATTTTATTTCTTCCCCTCTTGTCGAGGTAAATTCCTTGGATGGGCAAGGAGAGTTCTTCTTTCCGCCCAGACCTCACTACAGTCATGCTAGAGACTCTAAATGATAATGTCCCCTCCGTCTTTGAGTATGTCTTGGGGCTTTCTTGCCTTTTTTTTTCATACTGCCAACCAAAGCAACATTAATGGAAAGGACAAGGGATCATGCAGTTGACCTGCAGACAATCCACATGGCAGGGTCTGATGTCGTAGTGGCGGACGCACTCTCCCTGGGATGATAGAGCAGTCTTACATCGATCTCTTGGCTTCCTTGAACAATGTTCAACTTCCAATGATCTTCCTCTTCAGCGGGACTTTCTAGCAACATTAAAGCCATGGCTGCATGGGACGCCATCTGTCCACCTTTCAAATTTGTGACAGCAGATTGTAGCATTTTGTTATGTTTATTGATAGTCAGGCTTTGGCTCCAGCCAACGCTCCCATGAGTGCTGTAACTTCCTTATGTACTTCTTTCACTTGGAGCTACAAGTATCCAATCTACAGATTAGCCCTAGCTGCCAGACACATTGGTTTCAAAATGGGTAACTGCCCTTAACAACATGACATTCCATCACCGTTTATATGATATGCTTATCCAGTGGCCCCTCGTTTGGAAATCGGTCTGGTCATAAGACCTAAGCTAGGTTCTCTAGATGCTTTCCAGTCCTTCCTTTGAACCCTAAATAATGCCTGCCTTACACCCATGTCAGGTTGGCCTTTCTCTGAAAATGGTTACGTCCTGAGGAGACAGCAAACTACATGTATAGGCTCTCCCCATTGCTGAAGGCCGTCTTTGTTTGGAGCTGCATGGTGTTCACCTCATTCCTTCGATCGGCTTCCTGACGAAGGATCATACTCCCTCACCTGATCTGTCCGATATCTTCACACTCTCCGCCTCCTTACATCCTGGAGATGATGCGGATAAACTTTGGGGACCTGTTCATGTCCTGAAGTGGTACCTGACTAAAAGGATAGCATGAAAGGGACGATAGCGACCCCATCGCTTATCAC